GTTGTTGTTGTTGTTCCGGTATCGTCCACACGATAACAGTACAAAGCGGTACGAACACGTGTCAGACCGGAAACTAGAGCCGTTACCGGGACAGACACTTCCGCTCAGGAGCCTGACGGAAGATACCGTCTGTCGGTATTTACCGGAACCTGTCGGTATTTACCGGAACCTGTCGGTATTTACCGGAACCTGTCGGCATGTAGCAGCTCAGTGTGCAGGTCTGTGAACTCTGTTTATCTTCTGTTGTCTCTGACGTTGTTTTTAGATTTATTTGTCGCCTTGTGTCGCTTCCTGGAGACTCTGTTTAAACTGAAATCTGTGATCATGTGATGTGAGCAGCCTCCAGACTGTAAACCTTATGGAAGTACTAATACACGAGAGAGATACTTAATTTTCATTGTAAGAAACATAAGTAGCATTTATCACAATCATTGCATATTGATTTTCTGTCGTCAGGTTTATTAATCAATCAGCTCATAAGTCGATCGCTACAGAATTCAGCTTCTAATCACAAGGCCTCATTCAGCTACTGACATCTGCATTATCTCTACAGTCCAAGTCAGAAGAAGGATATACCACAGAAAGAAAGTGCTACATCAGGACACTAAACTGCTGAGCAGCACTGTCATGCCAGGAATCCTTGCAGCAGTATTAGTCTTTTTGTTGTCAGGGAGCAGATGTGTTGCCTGACGCTAACACACTCCCATTAATCAGAACATCTGCGGCTATCTCTCTTCTCTGATGCGGCTGACCTTTATGTCCTTTTTTTTTTTTTACTCTGAGTTTGGTCAGTGGTTGAACAAAAGTAATAACACACACTGGGATGTTTTGTGAATCAGTCTCACTCTGGCCTCCTCAAGAAAGCTACAAGACCCCGGAGAGGTTTAATTGAGCTGAAGGATTAATCCCACTCATCCTTTGTTGCTCTTTGTAATCAAGAAGACACTGAAGACCTGTTACAAATGCTGCCGCTGCCTCACCTCCTCTCTGAACCATGTGGCTTAAAAGCTGCAGCAGTGATGCTGTTAACTCGCCGTAGATTATTACAGCGTGACAGATGTGAGGACAGGAGGTGGACTGGATAGGATCAAATGAGCAGGGTCTGCTTTGCAGTGTTGGCAATGATGGTGGAAATCAGTTTTGGCTCTAGTGTGTCAAGTGTCAATTCAGCAAAGTGATCTGATAGAGGTATTTTCACCTCTCTCTCTCATCTTAAAGTGTCATTTTCATAACGCCTACACAAGTTTAATTTTAATGATTGTTTACTTTTTAAAAAACTTTTGACAGGCTGCCAGGCTGTTTGTCATGAAGAAACGAGCCAACAAAGTGCCGGAGGAGGATGAGTCCTTGTGCTGCTGCGAGTACGTAAACAGACATGGAGAGCGCAGCCATATTGCAGCCTGCTGCTGTGACTGCGAGGACCTGGATGACGTTTGTGACAGGTGAGGTGACAGGTTACATAAAGAAGGCTAAAATAACTTCTCACTTGATTGATGATGTTCATTTTGTAAATCATGGTCCCATTTAAAGTCAAATAGACGATCAAGCACAGTCTGCTTTGGGGTGTTGGTACCACGTGATCGACAGCTCGCACCGTCTGATGGGTGCAGGTGTTGACGGGGTTGCAGTGTCCTCAAGCTCTCAGTCGGGCGAGTGACAACTTGTTATTCGATCCCTCCTGTAAATAAATAAACACTCTTCTGTTTGCAAAGACCAAATTGTGTTTTTAGCCAGATTGACTCATCGGTAGAGGCATATATGCATAAGCAGAGCTACGACAGCTGAGTGAATAGGAGAATTTAGCTCATATTGTAAAAGTATAATCCTGTTTTCCAGGTTTCTAAAGAGGGAATCTCAGAAACCTGAATCCATCTCACAGGTCACAGCAGTTGTCACAGATCGGATTCGCGTGCCCTGGCTTTGGGGCGGAGCCCGCAAAGTGGAGCTGTCTGTTATCCCTCCTCTTATTCTCCTTCCTGTCCTGCTGCACCTTGCTGCTCTCCACTTCCTGCTCGGCATTGTGGTTCTGACGGCTCTGCCCGGTCTGGTGTTGTGGTACTACTACGTCACCCACCGCAAGAAGGGAAGGACACTCTTCTTCCTCAGCCTTGCTCTCTTCTCCCTGGCTTACATGTTCTACCTGTTTGTCACAGAGGTGTTCCCCCGTGGGGATATTGGCCCGGTCCAGCTTTCGGTGGTAACTGTGGGGGTAATCCTCACTCTGGTAGCTCTTGTCCACACTAAGAGAGAACCTGGCATTGTGCGGCCAAAGCCAGATGATATCCACAGCACAGTGACATATTACAGCCCTCTGGCAGACAGAGACCACACCGCGAACGGGGGGAAGCAGGATGTGACAATGACAGCACCCAACCGGACAGGGTCACGGGAGCAATTGGGGATGGAGCTGAAGGAGAGCAACCAAAGTAACTGGTGTCCAGTGTGCAGGGCGGTGCAGCCCCCGAGGGCGGGACATTGTCGGATCTGTGGTGTGTGCGTGCTGCGTCTCGACCACCACTGCGTCTGGTGGGTTCCATTTAAAAAGCCTCTCACACGGCCCGTCGTCCCTGTTTCTCCACTGTTGTGTCTGTGCCGCTGTTTGTCTTACATCTCAAACGCCGCTGTGGTTTGTCTACTTTTCTTCTTCACACATAATCTATTGTGCAAACATTTGTTAATTTTTTAAAACGTGAACGGCATTGAGTAGAGCAACCTACCTCTGCCAGTTTTTGCTGTGTCTCGATTGATATTTGTACGTTGAGTCAAAAATCACATTTATCGTAACTACAGCTACAAAAGAACATCTCCTTGCTTCTCTCCACTCCTTCACCTACAGTATATGTCTGTTCCTGCATGTCTTATGTGTTGTATATCCCTCTGGTCTTAGTACAATGTTCTGTCTGTGTGTGTCTGTACTTGTGTGTTTGCTCTCTGTCTGTCGTTGCCGGGTTAGGATAAACAGCTGTGTGGGGCAGGCCAATCACCGCAGCTTCCTGCTCTTACTCGTCCTCTTCCTGTCGACATCTCTGTACGGGATCATCCTGGTGCTGCAGAGAGTGTGTCCGACTCAACCCCTCCTAACCTCCCTGCTCTACTGCCCGGGCGTCTACAACCACTACAGGTATTGAAAACACTGACACACACAATTTCTAGTCGGCACAAACATGCAAGTGGTGTTAATACTTACTTAACTTGTGGCAAGAACGCAGATAGGTTTATGTCCCTAAATGTCAAACTATTCCTTTAAATGTTAATACTGATATTGACCTCAATTTCCCTTCCATTGTATAAAGAACTGCCATCACCATTGTTTCTTTACTCGTCATAATTGCTATATGTTAAGAAATGTAATGAAAAACATTTATTTTTCCAAAAAACAATTCTGCACAACACAAATTTAAACATCTCCTGAACCGCTCAATAATTAACATTTTATGCCTCAAAGGAATAACTCTGCGTCAGGGTTGATCCACAGTTCACATGGAACCAATGGAAACAGGAAACTGCAGATAACCTCGGAGCAGCAATCAAAATTGCTTTCTTTTAATAGCTAATAGAAACTTTATATTCAAACCGAGGCACTGTGGGGCATTCTGCCATTTTTTCCCAGAGTTCACCCCAAAATAGAGATTAAATTACTTTGAGTGTGTGTCTTTGCTTATTGGACACGAGGCCTCCTTCAATGCAGCATTGAATCAGTTTCACAGAGCCTCTTGGAGTGCATCCTATCCTTTTAAAGACTTTGTGCTGGGAGCAACGAGAGAGTGGTAGAAGAGCGGTAGATTAAATAATGTGCTCTGGCACTGCTGTAGGCATTGCACAATTTAAGTAGGTCTTCAGACGATGTATCTCAACCTCATCATCAAAATCTAAAAATAATGTCCACTGTCTTTTAAAATGCTCAAACTGACTAGTTAATAATTTTGTGTAGTTTTAGGCTAAATTACTTTTCTGTAATTCTGTGTTTTCGGTAACAAGCCCACCCAATGATTTATATGAAGAGTTATGACCTTGTAAGTTTGGTGTTTGTGTGTGTGTGTGTGTGTGGTGATTCATTGTTATCTTGCGGCGGGTTACACCATCTCTTCTCCTCACCTGCATTTCCAGCGCTGCTCTTTGCTTCACCTGCGCCTGGTACAGCAGCATCGTCACCGCCGGGCTGCTTCACCTGCTCGTGACGCAGGTCATCAACGTCAGCCACAACGTGACCGAGCGCGAGGCACGCGCCGCTCTGCGAGACAGAACCGCTCGCAGTGCCTGCTGGGGGCTCGTGGTCCACACGGGCGTCTACTCTCGGGGTTTCCGTGGCAACTGGGCTGAGTTCATGGCCATGGGGGTCAAACCAAGTCCTACCTCTCTCAACCGAACAGCCCTGGTGTAAGAGAATATTACGCAGCCTGCTTTAAAAAACTGTTTGAGGTGGGGGTTGGGGTGGGGTGGGTGGGTAATGGCTGCTGTCCTGTTCCTGTCCACTGGATGGCAGCATGGCTCCTCTCACCCTGACTTAAGTTCGCTGGCCGTCTTTTGTTGGCAGGACTTATCACCGATTCTATGCAGCTATTCAGATGCCACCTGACTTTTAACAAACAAACTCCAATAAGATGCGTTCACTGACATTAATGCAACCGACAACCAACATCTCTGTGCAGCTGTAACACTGAACTTTTACCTGCTTCCTTTCATCAAGTCTCTCTGCCAAACAAATATCACTGTTTCCTTCACACTGGATTTCTTCCTTTGATATGAACGTGGTCTTTATGTTTCCTCTACATTCTAGTGCCTTGGTCGGAGCTGAAAAACTAGAGGAACGTGAGAACGAGTGATCTGTTGATCCTCGTAGGGAGGTTTTCTCTGAGCACAGCGACATAACGATGCTTCTGGATCAGTGCAGTTGAACATGAGCTGAATGTCATCGGGAAGGATGGTCGCTTCACACTCCACCTCCTCCTCCATCCTTCACACCCATTCACAAAGGTGAACACCTCACCTGGCCTTCTGAAACGTGCCGTGCATATTTGTGTCACAGGTAAATGAAACATCTCTGCACAAGCCAGATAATCAGTCTAATTACAGTTCTGTGACCTGTCATTGGATGAAACATAATGAATGATTGGGTAGATATGAATTTATTACAAGTTAGTTTTATTCTTCTGACCAGACTGAGTCCTGATAGGAAAAATCTAATTAATCAAGATGCATTACTGTCAGCTAGAGAAGTTAACTTTTCCTGATTCACAGGGATTGTCACATTTTTACATCCTATATTGTATGGGTCCACATGTGTGTTTTATTTTTATTAAATGGATGTGAGAAACTTGCTCGTGTATTCACTTTGTCTGTGTCTGTATGAGTGTCCTCAGCACAGTTTGTGTGTCCTCTGTGTCAGTGTGCAGTTCCGACGCTCTCTCCCAGAGGCTTTACAGTGGATGCGAGCAGAAATCAGGCAGGACTTCGGTCACTTTCCGTCCCAGCTTCTCCCGCCGCGCCTCCCGCTGCCTTTCCCTGCGCAGCACACACGGAAGCCGCCTCCAGGCCAGGAAACATCGCCGCAGCACCCGTCTAAATCACAGGCAGATGGAGGGACAGATGGGAACAGAGCGAGTGTGCAATAAGAAGCTAAATTACAGGGACCTGTGAGTTGACAACGCCTAATGAGTTTTCACATGACGTTACTTGGGGCTCGGTGACAGTGGCAGCTGGGCGGCCATTGGAAATTCACCTGCAGGCTGTGGTCATTTAGCCGACCTCGCCTTGGAAGCTGAAGTTCCCATTTAGTGGCAGTGACAGTTAAATCAGAAAGTTGGAACTTTGCTACAGCGATCGTTAATCATTGATCACAGCAGGAACAGGTCCAAATAGGTAATAGTAATGTTCGTAATTGTTAAAAATAGTTTGCATTCAGCACAAATCTCTGCTGTGCCCGAGTACAGCCTGAAAAATCTGGCAGCATAGCAACCAATTCTTAGTCTTGTTAGAGCCACATTACAAAATTAATAAAGTATGAGATGGAGGGGAAGAGGATTAATGCTGCAAATAAATATTCTTTTACTCGGGGTCAGAAACCATTTAGTCCAGCACCACTCTCTCTACGCCAAATCATTTGGCAGGAGCAGAAACCGACTCCCATTAATTATAATGTTTGTAATGAACTGCGTCTCTTGAAGACGAGATGACGGTGTCATTTTCAATCTAGTGCTCAGGCAGTTGCCGTAAAAAGGACAAAATATGTGTCTGTGCGCCACCAGAGCTCATATTTCATACAACTTCTTATTCAATATGGTTGCAGTGTGTACTCTTTGTCATTATCGTACTTAAAACAGAGGAAAATAAAGCCCAGTCTTAAACTTTCTGTAGAGTAGGTCTTTGAAAGTCTTTATATTAAATTAATGTCAATGTGGCCTTCAAGGCATTGTCGTATGGTTGTGTACTGTCGTCAGATTGGTTTTATATTACATTCCAACTTGTAATTGTAAGACACCCTGTTTGTTAGTGTCCCCAGGGGAGCACACTGCAGCATCCATACAGTGAGCATATGGCCGAGTGATGGGTAGCAGACCTGTTATTGTGCTCCTGAGCCAGCTCCCGACGGTCCCACTCCACCAGCTTCTCCTGGGTCACATGGTTCAGCAGCGCCAGCAGAAACCTCCTCAGAGTGCGTGTGCGATAGAAACGCTCGGCCCGTTCCTCCTTAATCAGCCTCCAGTCCTTCAGCTGAAACAGACCACGCTCACTTAGAGACAGGGATGTTTACCTCCATGGACGTTATCGTTACATTGCTGTTTGTCTGACTGTTTGCTGGATTATGTGTAAACTACTGGAGTGATTTTATTTAAACTTGGTGGAAAGGTGTGGGCCAAGAAAAAAAATCCCATTAACTTTTCACTTTCTTTAACGAAACGAGACGGGCGTTTTTTTGTGAATCACTCAAGAAATGATTCAGATATTATATTTTGCATTGTTTGACATTTTAAACATTATTTTTTCTTATTTTTTCAGGGAATGCTGCTCAGATCGATTTTATTTTTTATTTCTACTTAAAGGTCAAGACAACCGTGTCACTCAACACCTCTCAGCTGTTAAATAATAAAAACAACAAATGCAAATTTCTCAGTCGACTGAGGCGAAAAAGACGATACTGACATTAACAAGAAAATCAGTTTAGTATGTTTGTTTCTTAATACTGGTCAAATGAAAAGGTAGAAAGGTCAGTGGCATATGTTTGGGGGGCTGCAATTCTTTTTGTGGTCCTGTGTGTGTGTGTGTGTGTGT